TGGAGAATCGGCTCTCAGAGCGTGCTGCAGACATCAGGGCAATGGAGCATCTTGTCCCATGCATGGGACATGGGCTCGTCAGGGATGTGCCCGTGCAGACAGCTGCAGGATGCAGCCCCATCCCTCCCTGCTGTGACCCAGGTGCCAAAAGGGGTCAGGGCGGAGGAAATGAGTTGCAGAGAGCCGGGATGACAAGGGGGTGGAAGAGATCTATGCTGTTTCCAATTCAACATCCCTTGAAACGGATGGAGGAGCATTTCCCTTCCGCCAGCAGGGCCCCAGATGTCAAATCCCAGCACAGCGCTGCCCCAAGGCACCGTGCATCCCCGTCAGCGGGCTGGAGCAGGCTGCTCACCCAAGGTAGGCTTCTTCTGCAAGTAGAAGTGGGATCTATTTTACTCCTTGCCCATTTCCACAGGGGCACCTGCCCAGCGCTGCAGTTTGGTGCGTATCCTGAGATGCTGCAGATCCCTGCAAGAACAGCTTTGGTGTGCCAGCTTCAGTTGGCAGAATTAAGCACCTCTCTCTGCAAGCAGACACCTTGCAGCTTTGCAACTCAGGACCCCGGCTGCGGGGATTTCCAATGTGTACCTGAGAGCTGTGCTGGGTTGTGCTCATGCTGTCGGCACTGCTGGGATGCTGGGGGCTTCCCAGCACACTGCTGCCCTTCCATGCACCCACATGTGCACAGCAGATCCGCAGCCTCACCCGCACCGAGCGCGCCGTGACCTCAGTTAAGCAAACACTTGCTCTAATCGCCTCCAGATCTGCCGCTGTCTTTGATCAGTTTAAATATTGGTTTGTCTTATGATATAAATATGTAAAACATCCATTTGTTTTCGTGCGGGATGCAAATAAATCATTGCATAAGTGTATACATGAGTTCGGCCGCGGGGGGAGCGGCGATGGGTTCATAACTCATCAGCCTCCACCTTTCTGAAGGTCATTACTTCATTGCCGGGCTGCTTCTCTCTGCAGACAGCCCCTATTTTGCATTATTTAAATGCCTGTCGTGCCCTAGGATCGTTCCTGCTGGTGGGGGTGCAGCACCTATGGGTGCAGTGCCAGGCTCTCTGCAGCATGGGAGCAAAAAGCTTCAGCCTGTCCTCTGCCAGGAGCAGTGAGAACAGCCAGCACCCTGCGGACTGCGAGGGATTCCTGTGATCCTTTTAATCCTAAGGTGTTTCCCATCATTTTCCTGCAGCAAATGCCCATCCTGGACCCTAATCCCAATCTGTGCTCTTGGGGTGATGTTGCCCTCCATCCACTCATGGTCATTGCTGATGGGATGTGCTCCAGGACCCCCCCATCCCAGTGCAGCTGCCTCTCTCCAGCTGCAGCCATTCCTGTGTGCTCCAGGAGTGGCTTTCCAGCAGGGAGATGGTTGTAGGGTGCTGCTAATGGGATGGCGTTACGAGGCTGAGCTGCATCCATCCATGCTGTGCTTCAGACTCCATGCTGCTATCGGGCAGATTTCTGCTGCTGGGGCAGGACCTGATCTGCCCTATTTGTCGATGGTTTGTTCTCCCAAAAGAGAATGGACCTTGAGTTCTTCTGCCTTAATTCCTGCACCGTGCCCTTGTGCTCCACCTCCCTTACTGCCTCACGTTGTTCCTCATTGCTGCAGGGTTTTGTTTCCTATCCCCAGCTCTGTGCCACGGACAGATCCCACCCAGGAGGTGACCACCTTCCGGGGCAGTGTCAGCATCTCAATCACTATTAAACCCATTTTGGCGAGGGGCATCAATGCATAATGATGTGAATGAATGCTTTACTGCTGTCACTTCTGCTCACGGATGTCCTGTGAAAGGGAGCGTAGGGAGCAAGCTGAGATAAGATACAGTGCGTGGAACAGTGCAAGATGATTAATGAGCCCTTTGTCCTGGGAAGGGAGATAATGCATCTCCTGCTGCTGCCCTATGCTAGCAGCGTTTAGATCACATTTTAAATATATATTTTTTTTCTTATTTCAGAGGTATTTCACTATCTGTCTTTGTTCAAGGGCAGATGAGAAAGGGATGCTGCAAATTCTGACGTTTGAAATCTTCCCTGGCTTAATTTTATTCTCAGCTGGCAGCTTTCTTTGCTACTTATTTGTTTGTTGCCTTTTCTCACCTTTGCTGACTCCCAAGCTGGAAGAAGCCCACACCAAGCCCAGCCTGAGCTGCAGGTGGGAGTGTGGCTCTGGGCTGTGATGCTTTGATGCCAAAGAGCTGAAAAGCAGAGGGAAGTGAGGCAGAGCACTTGGAGAGGTTTCCATAGGCTTTCCCATGGCATTGGCAGTGCTGATGTGCTTGGGGCAGGGGGAGGATGCTGTGTGGTGTGGGCTGGGCCTGCTGGAAGTGCCCTGGAACAGACTGGAAGCGGCTTTCATCTTCCTCCTGCTCAGTTTTTTCTTGTTGTTGTCTTCCCTTTCAATTTTTCTGCTGCTCATCCAAAGGAAACCCTTGCAAGGCATTCTGGGCCAGAGCTGGGATTGCTTCTGGGACAGGAATTCCCCAGCAGAGAGGGGATTTCCCCTGCTTTCCCCCAGATACAGGGCTGTGAGGCTTTGGGCAATGCTTAGAAGCGACGAGTCCCAAATTGCTGACCATACTGGGAGCTGCCAGGGTGTCCCTGCAGCAGACAGAGACCAGCAGACAGCATCCTCTCAAGGGATCAGCATCCCCTGCAGCCAAATGAAGCTGCGTGGGAGCTGCTCTCCTACTCTGATGTGCAGACACCACTTGGACTCGCCAGGACCTGTGGGATGCTGCCTGCAGGACGTGCCTGTGCTGCAGGAGGGGACGTGCTGTGCAGTCCCTGCACAGGGACCTCCACCGACCCCATTCCCACTGCCAGCTGCAAAATGTACATGAAAAATCCGATGGCATCAGCACTATGTTCCTCCCTGAAAGACTGGCTTGTGCCCTGTCCAAAACTAAATGAAAGACAGCACTGCCGTGGCACTGTTTGACCTTTCCCATTTTCTGCGGATTGAGTTTTATTGGAATTTCAACCTTTCCCCCCCCCCCGATTCTTGGCTCTGGGCAGCCATCCATCTCACATTGGGGTGGCTGTCCATCCTGAGCCCGGCAATGCCTGTTTGCCAACCAGTGCTGCTCACATGCACACATAGGGCAGAGGAAATGCTCTCAGCCAGTGCTTGCCAGGGCCTCACATTTGTGGCTGGAAATCCTCTCCAGTCGTTAAATATTGGCTGAGTTCTGATTTGTCTTCATAAAAAGGGGAATCTGCTCTGCTCCATGGCATGGGACGGTTGGGAAATGCAATTGCTGCTTGCACACACTGCACCTATCTCAGCAGTGTGCACACATCCCACAGGGCCCAGGGCCAGACCTTGTCTCTATATGCTGTTTTCCTACAGGTCACATCCGTGCTGTTGAGTCTGAGCCCATTTTCTGCAGGATCTCAGGACCAGACAGGTGGGAGAAGAAACATCAGGAGCAGAACCCAAAATGGAAATGTGACCAAAAATTATATTTAAAAAAAAAAAAATCTGTTAAAAAATAATAATTTCTTTGGGGCAGTGTTTTGTGCTGAGAATTAATTTTTATTATGGCTGATTTATAACCTCACAAAAACGGGCCTCGGTCTCGGAAAAAAAATGCATACATTGCAAATACCAGAGGTGTGCTCTGCAGTTTCCATAGAGCCCTCCAGCATTCATCTAGAGCATATTTGTAGGGGTGTCACAGCTGGCTTTCTCCTGGCCGCCTTTTGCTGGGGAATCTTGGCACTTCCCAACCTCGCCACTCTTCCAAAAGCAGAACTGACACCATCACTGCGTGGTTAAAGGTTACTCCACAGGAACTACATCCCATAAGTCTGCAAACACAAGGCTGGAGCGGAGCTGTCATTGCTGCCATCCAAAAATAGCATTTTGCTGTGCGATCTCTCAGGGTCCTTCTGCGTTTTCTGCGCATCCATGAATGCACTGAAGTCAGCAAAAAGGCTCAGGAGGAGCGAGGAGATGGTTGGGACTCAGCCCCAGGGCTGCTCCTTGGGGCTGTGATGCCCATAACGGTACGATGCCATCCAGCAGCTTTGGGAGAGCACCTCCCAGGCTTCAGTTTGCTGGAATTGGGAAGGAAACTCAAGGCTGCATTTGGAGCAGGGTTAAGGCAGCTGTGTTCGATAGCTCCTATCCCTGCTTTTGCACAGGAACCCATCTGTGGGCAGCACGAGGGTGGCTGCATTTGCACAAATCCTGAGCAAAGGTGGAGCAGCTCAGGTGGGAGAAGGCAGGGAGAGCTGTGCCCGTTCCCCAGGCAGGGGTTTGGGGGGAGGGGAAGGACACATTTCAGCTGCTCTGTGTGCTCCCAGCTGCTGCTCGTAAAGCACTTTATGAGCCATAGCAGCAACTTTGCTGTGGGTGCTGCTGTTGGAGCAGCATTGTAGTGACAGGATGAGGGGAAACGGTTTTAAACTGGAAGAGGTAGACTTAGACTAGATACTAGAAAAATAAATGCTTTAGTGTGAAGGTGGTGAGACAAACTCACTGTTGGGAAATGCAGATGCGCCCATGGCACGTTCTGGAAGGTTCTTCTTAGCTTTTATGTAGAGAGTAATGCCTCCTATTTGTTTCCATGGAAAGCACAACAGCTACAAAGAGCACAATAATGCCGTTTGATAGAGCAAATTCTCAGCTGCAAAACTGGTTTTCAACACAGTCACCACTGTTAGCTATGCAACACAACCCTCTTAGCCAGGTCTTGCAGAAGAGCCCCTTGCTTGTGCCATATGTGCAAGGGGCTCCAGGAGCATCTGTATCACCAGCAGAGAGCAGTGCTGCAAATCAAGTCCAGAGCAACTCCAGGCACCCACAGCCATGAGAGCAGCCCTCGTGCTGGTGCTGCCTGTGCTCACGAGGTGGGCAATCAGTGACTGTAGACAGGTGGAAGGGATCACGCGTTGGCAGAGCCCTGCCCAGCTGGCTGCAGAGGAGCACTTTTTGCCCTCCCCCTGCCTGGGGGCTATAAATGGGTAGGAGCTGAGCAGAGCTGGCTTTTATTTCTCCTTGCCAGCACCAGGAAGGGAGTTGGATAGGGAGCCCTTCCCTCTTGTGAAAGTCTTTTGCCTGGATTTGGGTTGCTTGGTGCTGTGCTTGGGCTGATGGTGACCTCGTGGAGTTCATCACCACCTTTGGGACATGGCTGCAGTCCTCAGCATCTCCCAGCACTGCCCTCGCTTTCCAGAGCGGCACCTACGAGCCCAGCAGGTCAGTGAAGCGTCTCGTTTGTGTCCTGAAAGTGCCTTTATTTGATGCTAATGGCTTGTGATTTCCTGGTGTGTGGGTGGGACGCTGAGCTGTGGTTTGGTTCAGCTCCTTCTCCAATCCCTGGTGCTACTGTGCTGCCTGTCCCGAGCTGGGGGCTCAGCTGCAATGCTCCCCTGTTGTCTGGGGGTATTTCTCAGCCCTGTGTCTGAGATCTTGGAATGCAGGAACTGCTGCAGCTTCAGGGGGCCATTCCTTAGCAGCAGAATAGCTCTTGGTTTTGCTGTTTCTTGCAAAGCTTCATGCTGCCTGGTCTCGAGCTCCTCAGCATCACCAGAAGGTATGGCTGAGTGTTACCTCTTACCAGGCCCTTTCTATGCTTTCTAAGTGCTGGTGGTAGACGTACCAACTCTCTTCTTGTTGCTGCGTGCCAATATTACCTCCCTCTATTCTTCTCCTTGTGACCCTGTATGCCTGATTGAGGGCAGCTGCCCCCCGGCAATTGTAGTTAATACAAACACGATGTGCTGTGTTACATTCTACTTGGAGAGAACCATTAAAAGTTGTCTTTTGTGCCTTGCAATAAGGGAACGAGCGCAGCCTTTGCTGCTCCTTAAGGGAGGGCGAGTTCTGCCCATCCCTCTGCAGCACCGTGTGCTTTGTAGCTGCAATCTGCTCCATGTCAGCCTTCTCACTGTGGCCTTTTCAAGTCTTGGATAGGAAGAATGGGGGTCTGATGGAGCCTCGGAAATCCACGCTGAGTGGCTGAGCTCTCCTAAGCGCTGCTCATCCTGCCTGTTTGGAGGCAGATTATTGCATAGCTGGAAATGTTTAAAATCGCCATAGTGTCAGCAGTCCCCAGGTGTTCCTGGGATCAGACAGCAGCTGAGCTGTGATTCTGAGGAGCCTCTCTGGAGGTTTGATTTGCAGGGCTGGCTTTCACCTGTTGGGTTGTGTGAAGAGCTTTGAAAGGGTGATTTAGTGCTCCTCATCTTGATGGCTCTGCAGCAAGTGCCTACATCCACGCTGCGGTGTCTCGGGGAAAGCAAGCTGCTTCCATAAAGCCATTTCCCATTAAGCACCTGCTGCAGTTCTTCCTGTGGTCGCTTCGGAGAGCGCGGAGCAGATGGGTGCGTGGGGCTGGGGGTGAGGAGATGGGCTGTCAGTTGGAAGTGCTTCTCGAAAGCTTCTTGTGCTTCTATTATGCAAACAGTAAAGCTTTGATTAAACGACCCTATTTGATTTATGGGACGCGTGGGTGCACGTTTCCTATATAGCAGCGCTGGCTGCACATAACCTTTTGGAGCTCTTTGGGTGGAAAACAGAAGAGCTTAACAGCTGGGGTAGGGAATAGGAAATAGGAGGGTTGGGGACGAGGCACTGGGCTGTGCTGTGTTCCTGCGGCTGGCATCGCACCCAATGCAAATCCCAAGCAATGTGATCCTAGCAGAGGCATTGCTTTGGCCCCCTAATGATTTCTCGTGCTGAGAAATACTAGGATGCTGTTGAAATGTGACCTTAATAGTGTCTGCGTTTTCCCCGATGTTCTTTGTAAAGCCTTTTCTACGGAGGGTAGCTTGAATAGCGCTGCTTTGTGGACGGCCTCGTTAAAGCTTAATTACAGCGTTTATCATTCAGGAAAAGCTCTGCCTCGGAGAAATGCCTGGTTTGGGAAGGAGGAGGTTTGTCTTCTCTTTCTTAGAGATGAAAATTGAAATGGAGCAGTCGATACCATCAGCAGCTCTCCGTTCACCCGTCTTCAGCCATGCGAACAAAAAAAGGAGAGGTAAAAGGGAGAGATTGGATGTTTCCTCTGGTGCCAACAACTACAAAGAAGGTCATTTTGAGTTTTACTGCCTTGTTAATTCAAGCCGTTAACTTCCAGCCCATCTTTCCCATGCAGTGGCACAGCTTTGAAGCGTTCTTTGTTAGTTTTGTGGTTGTTCTGAGATAAGTATCTCATACAGGGAGATGGCAATCTCTGGAAGAGGTGCTGGGTCGGGAGAGTGAAGAGATGCACGTAATGAAGCCAGACACGTGGACGTAAAACCGATGCAAATGGGAGAACGAAACAAAGCTCTGCTAAGCAGAGGATGGGAAGCTGAATGCAGCTGCTCCATTGCTGGGGATGGAGCAAACTGGGGGTGGAGTGAGAGCTATTGGTGACCAGAAAGCCAACTGATGCTTTGGACAAATGTGAGGGATTAAAATGCGGTTTAGTTCCACAAAGGAATGAAAACAAGACCTTCCAGAACGAGGATTTTTATATGATTATTTTTTTTCTTCTGAATGGAATGGAGACAAAACATTTCTGTTTGGATAGCAAAGGTTCCCCTCCCACCACTCTGCCTCTCTGGGGGCTGCGAATGGCTCAAGCTGGACCTCATTCTTTTCCACCAAGTAATGTTAAAACGAATGGGAGTCCCTATGGGCTATTCAGGCAGAAAAACTGAAGTTCCTGATTGCAGCCAAGAGGAACCCTGTCCTCAGTCCTATCCTGAAGAACTGGGGTGAGAAAATGAGTTTCCAGCCGGCAGAGGTGGTCTCACTTGAAATCCAGTGTCCCCAAGGCTCCCTGTGACTGGTTCCCATTTCGGATCCCAGCAGGGGTGGGTGCTGCTCCCATGGGTGCAGGACGTGGAGCTGATCCATGTACCTGCATGGGGAGGGCCCTCTCTTGGGAAGTGCTGTGTAGGAAGTGCTGCACTGGACAACTGCTGGGGCTGACACATGGTGTTATCTTAATTGCTTGACCTTTTTTTTTGTACTTTTCTTACTTTGTGTAAGGGCAAAACCCGCCTTGTTTTTCCAATCAGCTTCTAAGTGCTTTTCAAGTGTAACTTTTGAGTCTTCGAAGGAGTATTGAGTTGCTGAAGGTGCTGGCTGCCAGCTGCTATACAGAAGTCCAACCCCCGGTGGAAGCACCACTGATTAATCTATCAGCTCCTACAGGAGGATGCTGACTTAGATTCTGCCTCGGCATTTAGGTGGAGACTCTACAATGTGGCTTTTATCTGCTCACAGAATGGGTTTAGAGGACGTGGAATCTGCAGAGAGCTTTTATTTCCTTTTAAGACCATTGGGTTCGGGTGTGCTACCACACGTTTTCTTTTTTCTTCTTTTTTTAATCTCACTCGCTGATCATTTCAGGGGTTTAGGAGGTCAGTGGGTAAGAAGCTTATCAGCCACCTCCGAGCAGTTGGGGAATCCTTTAATTTGCACGTCTTTTCATGGCATAACCTGATTATCAGATGCCTGAAACCCACTGGAGGTGGGAGTATTTGCTGGGATGAGCACTACTTCAGTTTGGTCTTTCTGAAGTTCAGATGTGTTGGAAATATGATGGTAACACTTGTAGGCAGGCATTGCTTATCTGGCTTTTTTTTTTTTTTCTTGCCAGGGGACTGTAATGCAATGTGAAAAGCATTTTGTGGAATAGTGAGAGTTTGTAGTGAGGGTTGCAGAAGGGAGCTGCACCTCGGTGCTGCTCTGCGCTGGGATTCCAGGTGGTTTCCATCCCTTCCAATGGATTTTGGTGCATGGGTGAGCTTTGCTTCCCAGTGCTGCTGGGCTCCTTAGTGTCAGCACGGCTGTCTTAGTGTCAATTAACAGACTGCCCTCTGATCTACCACGTGTGCTCCCTGCCATGGGGACTGCATCAATCACTCATACGCACAGCGATGTCTGCAACAGAGCCTTGCTTGCTGTGGGTGAAGGGCGGTCCGAGCACATCGAAGTCTTGATTTCATTAGAGCAGTGCTGCAGTTCATCAAAGCCCGTAAATATTTATCTTTTCAGCATTCTTTCTGTGATTTCAAAACGCTGGCTATGTTTGAGGAGGATGCTTTGCGTGGTTGGTTGTGCAATAGGGTTCTGTTTGCCATAGATACACTGGGAAGAAGTCTCTGATGGCTGCGGTGAATGGGGAGGCACGTTCCCTCCCAGACGTGGTTGTAACCCCCAGGATTCCCCATCCGTGTGATGAGTCAGTAGGATTTGCAGCTCTGCCAGCCCCGCACACTTGAAAGTTGTGAGTCAATTGCTGCAGATCATGAGATTGATAATAAATAAATAGACGTAGGGGTGCTTCAGCTTGCCTTCTGTCAGCTGGGTTCAGGGTAAAATCAGTTTGCTCCCTGAAAGAAAGGTGGGAGTGGTTGTCTTCTCCCAGGTAGCAGCAATGGGATGAGAGGTGATGGCCTCACTGATGGCGCCAGGCTGGATGTTAGGAGAAACTTCTCCAAAAAAAGCAGTCAGGCACCAGCACAGGCTGCCCAGGGACGTGATGGAGTCACCATCCCTGGAGGTGTCCCAGAACTGTGGAGATGTGGCACTGAAGGACGTGGTGATGGGCACAGTGGGATGGGTTGAGGTTGGACTTGAGGATCTCAGAGGTCTCTTCCAACCTGAATGATTCTGCGGGTCTCATAGTTGCGTTCTGCATTTCTCTACCATCTGAGAGGCTTGGGATTTATTCCTTCTTTGTAACGTGAGCTTTGGGGTGTTGAGTCTTTAAAGCAATGGTCTGATGCTTGGAGCTGGCAGCAATGGGGTGAGCATGGTGGGGACTGCAGGTTGGCATGGGGATGCTGTCGCTCCTGTCCACTCACTGTAGGGACTGGAATCATAGCATGGCTTGGGTTGGAAAGGTCCTTAAAGATCATCAGGTCCCAACCCCAAAAAGAAAAGCCCTTCTCATCTCCAGCAGTTAAGGAGTTTACCTGGCTCCTCGTTGCGTTTGGGTTTTGAGCCCTGTTCTTGCAGCCACGACAAATCAGGCTGGTTGCAGACATTTCTGCTTATGGAGGACACCGTTAATGGAAACTGCAGTGCTGTCCTTGAAGTTTTAGTTCTTTGCTTGAATGTTTTTATTGTTTCATAACTTCTTTGCACGTTGAAATGGTAAAATAAGTAACAATGAAAAAAAAAAAAAGCAGTCTTATGACAATTGTTACAGATTCCTGTGGGGTGGAAGGGTTGCTGTCCGTGTTTGTGCTATCAGGAAATTATCTGATGGGTTTTGTGCTGATGTAAAGGAACCAGCTGCTGAAGAAGCTTGTTCATGAAGCTTCCCCATCCAATATTTTTTCTAAAGGCTTATGTTAGAACAAAAATCTTGGTTTTGGACCCTACCAGGAGGATGAATAATCAACATTATTACAGACCTCAATAGCTGCTTCTTTACAGGACAGAGTTCCTGGCTTAGAGACCCAAGGCTCCTCCTCCTTAATGAACAAGGGTGCTTCAAAGCTATTTTACTTGAAAGCTTTTGAGTTAGGTATCTTCTATTTTGAATTCTGAAGAAGTATTTATTATTCTTTTTTTTGGGCAGGATTATTGATTCAACACGCTGATTCTGTCCTGTGTGAACCCATCTCCTGGATGCCAGCACCAGGTATTTCATATTTCTCTCTGCAGTAGGTTGCTGGGTTGGTCTGTGCCTTCTGAAGTGGTACGAAGCGAAAATGTATGGTCTGATGGGTCTGTTTGGTGCTTAACCTTGCTTTTGGAAGCCCCGTGTTTCCTAACTGCCGCAAGGTGTTTGTGCTCATGGAAACCAGAGGGTGATGGGGCTCATGGAAACAGGGGCCGGATATTGTGGTGTTCGGCATGAGCTGTGCAGCAAGAGGAGGTCTTGCATTGTCCCTGCTGAAATCCTTCTTTCCTTAATGATAGAGATTTTGGAGGTGTAGGAGGCCAAGGCTGCACAAAGGGCACCGTCTCTCCTGCTGATTGCCATTGCATTCCTGCGTTCTGCATTGCTGTGCCCGTGCAGAGGGCTGGGGTTGCCTTCCCAGCTGTTTCTTATCACGGATGCATCGCGTCAGGAGGGAAGCCCCTCGTGTGACCTGAGACATCCCACACTCCTGAAGCGTCTGCAGCGCTGCAATACTTCTTGTCAAACTGATCCTCGACCTCCTTTCATCGCTTTAAGGTTACGGTGCTCCCTGGTGACTGCAGGGTGTGAGGCAATGCTGAGTTCTGGCTATGCAATTAAACTGCATGAAGCGCTTCACCCACTTATGTGATCGTTTTCATATGTTTTCTTATTGGTATTTACTACAATACGTTACATTCCGCTATTTCCGCTTGGAAACGAGCGTTTGGCTGCAGGAGCAGAGAGGGGAGAAGAAAGGGAGTCAGATCTGCCCTCTTGCCACAGGGGGAAGGCAAATTGCTGAGCAAACGATGAGCGCAGCGGGCACCCAGCCACTCCTCGCCGCGCTCGGGCTCAGCCACCATCAACGTTTTTCCATCTCGAATTCGCCGATCCGCTGCGCTGCTCTTTCTGACCACACTCCTTTGTTTATTCCCCAACCGCTTCAGATGAGCAAATCTGCACTGGCAAGAACATTTGTGGGAAAGCAACATCACGTCGCATACTTGCGCGAGTAAATATTCACAGGAGGATCCACGTCGAAAGCGCTCGCACGGCCGTCGGCGAATTCTCTCCCAGTTACTCAGCAGAGAGAGCTGTTGAATGTCTATAGCTGTTCGGTGGGCAACTGGCAGGCGGGTTGGGAAGACGTGTGACGTATCAAAGCCTTTGATCATCAGTGCTGTTCCTATCAGGGATAGGAATGAAAGCATCTGCCCTGGGTTGACTGATGGAGTGGCGCTTCGTAGCCACGCATTGGGTCTGCCCATGTAGGCTGCTCATCAGAGCTGAGTGCGTGTGGATGGGCTGTTCATAGATTGTTATGGCTTCAGCTGGGGGCTGGGTTTGCAGGATAAATGAGCAGAGCGTTACTTGACCGACATGAAGGGAATATGAAGACTTTATTTACCTTTCAATTCTGAGTGTTCTTGTTAGCAATTAATGTGTGCGCTTCTGGAGAGCTGCTACTGAGTGATGATTATCTCATGGGATTCCCAAATTCTCTGCTCTGAGTGCCCTGTTCTCATAGATGCTGTTGTCTGGTTTTCTGTTTTGGAAAAAGCAGCTCTTGCCTTTGACACCCAGATAGACTGGGCTTCCCAAGAGTGAACTGTTGCTGCTTGATTGACTGCTCTGTTTTCCTGGGAGTTTCTCTGTAGAGGAGAAGAAAGCACTGATAAATTGTTCCAGTTGTGGACAAACGTGGGTTTTGTTGGATGCTTTTTTATGGAGGCCGACTGCCGTGCAGAACTTGTTATTCTTTCAGTTGGTTGACAAAGGTGGGTGAAATACAGCTGGGTACTTTTTGGAAGTGCTGGACTTGAGTCTTAAGAAAGCAATTAGCATTTTACAGCATCAAGCACACATACCAAGCGGATTAAGAATTGGCTGCTACATCTGAGAAAAGAGTCATCATCAGGGAACCCTCATGAAATAAGAGAGGTTGCTAGCTGGGCCGTGTGGAGTTTGGCACATTGTTATTCCATCGTCTCATCAGCAACCTAGAGTCAAGATGGAATTACTGCTGATAAAGCTTTTGTACAGCTCATGCTTTGGCTGGGAAGCGCGGAGCAGGGAGCGCAGAAGCGATGCCATGTGGTCTGGAAGGCTTTGGTGAGCTCAGCCCACGGAAACTCATCGTGCTTTGATGCAGATGCAGTTCCACATCTGAGAGCTGTGCAGGCAGGAGGTACCTGTGATAAATAATCGTGCCAAAGGATGGGGCTGTCACAGAATGAGGTCCCCGTGTTCCTAGCTGGCAAAAAAAGAGGTCATGGCAGTGCTGGGCTGTGCGTATAGGAGGGCTGCGTGTTCTCATCATGCTATGGGTTGGATCTTGTTTATTTTGCAAAGGGCTGTGAATGCAGTCAAGGGGGAAGGGGAAAGCTATAGATAAACAGTGTGAGAGCTGGGGGAAGCGAGATATTTAACCCACTGAATTTATGGGGAAAAAAATGAAGTGATTTGGTATTTATGCACAGGGATAATTGGGGGGGGAAGCTTTGGAAACAAGGCAATGCAAATCCTAGCTGGAAGCAGAAACTAACACATTGACTTAGATGTGAAGCATGTATTTGAGTACAAGCACTACAGAGGACTTAGCATCTCTTAATGCTTGGCAAATGGAGGCTGTGTGCCCAGGGAGGGACGTTTAGCCAGAGCTCAAACGAGGTTGTGGTTGTAGGGCTTCAGTTTTTGGGCTTGGCACAGCTGGGTGCTTGGATGACTGTAGTGGTTGGTGTGCTGCAGGAGGTCAGAATGATAGCACCATCCCTGCAGGACTCCAGTGCGTTTGTCCATAAAGCTTTGCAAACTCTGTTATATTCCAATGGAAAGAATTGATGTTTTTGGGAGGAGGGACTGAGACTTGTGACCATGACCACGTCTTCGTTGGCTGGAGCGTGGCACCAGGCAGTGCAGGCACTGCTATTTTCACATCTTCTCTGGTACCTTCTCCAGGAGTTGAAGCACTTGGGGCTGGTGTGTGCTATCAGCTATAGGGCTCTGGAGTTTTCCCTTGTCACAGCTCATGGTAAATGATAACTAGGTCGAAGGCTGGCCAAATAAAGCAGTTTTTATTAAGCATCTTAAGTCGTCTTTACAAAGCGGTGTGGTTTTTCACCTTGTTGCAGGAGCTCTGAGGTATAGGCCAACTGTTGAGGCAAGGGAGGCTCTTGGTGTGTTTATCCTTCCTTTCATCTCTATCTTCTCTTCGAGACACCTAGCTCGGAGATGCTCTGCTATTTCCCAGACCTCGTATCAAAAGAGGTGCTTGCAGTGAGGCAGAGCCGTGATCATCTTTCCCCTTCCCCACTCTCCCAATATCTCCTACACCATCCCCTGAAGAAAGCATTCCTTTTAGTAAAAGAAAACATTTTTGGTTTTTTATTTAGAAGCATGTTCTCAGATCAAGTGCATTGCTTGTGATTTCTGGTTCTCATCCACTGCTATGCTATGTTGTGGTGGAGCAGGGGGGACTGATCTCAGTGATGTTCTGTTCCCTGGAGATCCTTAAGCCAACAGTGCCTTTCTGGCAGCCCAACAGGAGCCCACTCTTCTTCTTGATCAAATTCCGTTTTGCTTCTATTATTGTGGAATTGAGCAAGCAGGAGATTGCTCACTTTCTGGTTTAATCATCACTGTTGCGTTAAATGGTTCCCAGATCGGAGCTTAGTGCCTCTAAGCAATAGGTAAAATAATCTTCTCTATCTGCATCCCTTTGGAATAGGGATGAAGGATGCTGTTTGTTGCTGTGATGTTGTTACCTCCGCAGCTCTCGTGGCCTGGAGACAGCAGGCTTGGGCTCCATGACTGGCGATTAGGGGTTTTGGTGGTGCTCATTCTTTGTTGTTGTCGTTTGGCTGCAGATGGGGAGGAAATACCTTGGTGTTGTCAGCTGAAATGTAAACAGAGCGGCCATCAGCAGTCAGGAGTCATTGAGGTTCATCTGCTCTTGCGTTCCCTCGTAACCATGGGAGAAGCAGATTAACGTGAAGAACACTGATGCATGCATGTGGTTTTGTGCATTTAAAGCTAACCAGATGTTTGAAACATCTTTCTGAAATACAGATGATGATATAATGACTCCATAGCAATAGAGAGCGTTGGCAAGGGAGACTTGAATATCCCCCAGTGTGGCATGTAGCGATGAACTCCTGATTCGTAGGCTCAGATGAGTTCAGGAAGTTCACAGGCCATGTAAGGACAACAAATCTTTGTTCCAGGCATGTGCTTTGTCCTTGGTAACACAAACACTGCTGGACTGAGGCCGTCTTCAGGTTATTTAATACAAGGAAAGCCTCCACTGGCCGATAGACTTGGCACTTGCGGGATGCCTCTCATCCAGAAGCTTTATACAACGCTCCTGCTGGGAAGTCCTGTTGTTGGATGGGGCAGAGGGATGGGCTGGGATGCTGTGTAGGATGGATGGGCTAGGCTGCCACGTGGGTTGGAGGGATGGAATGGTGGGAGATGGGGTGGGATGCCATGTGGGATGGAGGGTTGGTGTGGGCTGAGATGCCATGTAGGACTGAGGGTTGGCATAGGCTGGGGTGCCATGTAGGATGGAGAGATGAGCTGCCTGTGGTCACCAGTGCTCAGTAGGGCTGAGGCACAATGCTCTGCTTGTCCTATGGTGAAGGGCTCATTCTTGTGTACAAAGAGGAGAAAGCATTTGAGAGGCAGACACACAATGATTAGGCAGATACGGGGTTTGGCCTCTTACATTTTAGCTTTGTAAATCTTATAGGTGAAGAAGGGAGTAATAAAGTGCTCTGGGATGCAGGTAATCGGATACGAAGGCATTGGCCACAGTTCCTATTGCTATTGTCTTTGGAGGAGCCGTGCCTATATTTCTCTTTATATCAAATGAACAGATAGCAATTTCCTGCCTCACTTGTGTTTCCAGGCCGTAGTCTGCTGCTGTCTTTCCCCTGTAGCAGAAACATATGGTGGTGAGAGGAATGCGGCGTCTGTCAACGCGTGCTGCAGGAGGAATAAGGAAGCCTAAAAGCGGGGCTTAATGGGGGGGGGTGCCTGTGTTTTAAATAATAAAAACGTCTTTCCCGCTAATTTGGTTTGGGTGAATTACAGGAGGAGGGGAGGAAGGCTGTAGGCAATAATGCGTGTTGTACTCAGGGAGTGGTGAGCGTCACAAATGCAGCAGCAGTTGGAGGGATGTCAGTCTGGGGGCAAAGCTGAAAGCACAGCCTATGCTTTGCCTGGCAGATCTGGGATGGCTTTGCTAAAACGAAGGAACTTCTGCAGTGTTTATTCTGGAGGAGCAGCAGCTCTGTGTGCTTCCTAACCTCGTACACCTGCTTGCTGCTCTGCTGCTCTGCTTCTGTTCCTTCCACGTCCCCTGCACCCAACTGACAGCAGACTGAGGTCCTGGGAGCGTTGGCACTCCTCTGCCTGATGCACAAGTCTGAGGCCTCGGTGGTGTCACTGCTTTGCAACCAGTTGCTTTGCTGCTGGATTCAATTAGAGGTTCCTTCAGCCTCACATACTCAAATTAGAGTGTTTGTTTCATCCTGAAATATTCAGCCAAGCTCCAATTCCTTACCCGGCTTGGGCTGGACTTCATGTTCCTCTGAAGCTCTTTGTGCCACAATCAGTCCAGCACTGATACCCCCAGCATAAAGCTGGTGTGTCCTGCACTGTCATCTCTGGGTTTCTAATAGGAAAGTGCTAATGCTGAACAGTTGTGGTAAGATAATTGGCTTTTTCTTCTCGTTTTCTGTTCGTGACAAGTGATCACCTGAGGTGTTTGCAGATGCTGAGCCAACTGCTGGGTTTGCCTTTGGCTGCACGGTGAATTCCTTGGAGGAGGTTTAATTGTGTGATGCTCACACGGAGTTCCATCCGCAGCACAATTAATTTGTGCTCCGACCCCTGAGCTACAGAACAGTGCCCTCTCGTGTGCAGCACAGAGATGAGCTGCAATGATGGCCTTTCACAGAACCAGATGTGTTTTTTGGAGAGCTGGTGAGAAATCGGGACTGACCATCTCTGTGCTTTTGCTCTGCCTGCTTTTCTGTGAGGCATCGTGGCCTTGGAGGCTTTTGTGAATGGATAATTCAAGCTATGTAAGCAAATATGTCCTTCTAAGCTGTTTGTAATCAATGAATCAGTGCACTGCACGACTTCAGGAATAGGGGAGAACAGCTGGCAGGTTTCACCTGTTTTCCTTCTGCTCACACACCAGGGCTAGCAGTAATGTCAGAAGTTTGCACGCAGGCAGCAGCATCTGTGCTCATATACCAGTATACCAAAAACTGTAGAGGAAGGTGTAGAAGATGACTTCAGGGTACTCCTGTTTAAAAAAAAAAAAAATATATATATATATATAATATATATATAAACTAATACATATATTACACAGTGCTGTTTTTTTTGTTTTTTACTTTTTGCATTATCACCTGGCATTGCAGTGGGGCTGTTTGAACGCATAGTGCAGTTAGAGTCTTTGCCATAGAGCCTACAAAAGAGACAAGCCTTTCTGCTGTCTCCTGTGCTGCTCTTTGCATGATTTCCCTTTCAGTCCTGGCCTGATGCTGTGCAAAAATAAATAAATGATCTTGCTGGTTGGATTCTGCAAAGCAAATACTGGTCTCCATATGGTGGCAATGGTCCTTGTGTTCTTCAGTCTCCATCTATTGTCATGCTTTGCTCTTAGGCTCTCTTCCAAATAGCTCACAGTTTGTGTTCTGTTTCTACAGTGACTTGTCTGAATTGAGGTGTCCTGCTTCAAGGTCTTAAATTCTTTACAGAGGTTCTGTGTTTTTATGTGTGGCTGGATATGAACAAATAAACTTGCAGACCTGTAGGTGTCGTGTGGACAAGAGGATTGGGAATACTGAAGTGCTTTTTGACTAGTTGTGCAATAAAGAGACCTAAAAATAAGTTGGAATGGAGCTCTGGAGGCCACCTGGTCTCATTACCCTGCGATGAACAGGGACAGCCGTGGCTCCATCAGTGCTCAGAGCCCCTCCAGCCTCACCGTGGGCGTCTGCAGGGATGGGGCATCTCCTGCATCTTACTGTGGGTTTTCTCATGCGTGGCGGAGCGCAGGGCTGGGGACCTGGATATGGGTTTTATGTGTGTGGATGTGTCAGGAGAGGAAGGAGGAGCCAGGAAAAAGCCACAGAGAGGGATGGTGCTCTGTGCCCTGCGGAGGTGCCAAGGGAGCGCGAGGTTTCTTTGGCATTGAAGGTGGGCTTGGAAGCGTGCATGAGGAAACTCTCCTTCTGTTCCTACTTGAGTCAGGGAGAAATGACTGTGCATTGCACACATTTTCAGCTAAACAGGAAGCTACTGGGCTCCTTCTTTTGGAAACCAGGTAGGAAGGTCCAGGATGGTAGCTAACAACACAGGTTGGATGGAGCAGCGCTGTGCCTCTGGTTCTTCTGCCAATCCTGTAGCACCAGCTCTGAGCTCACCACTGGATCCAAAGCAGATTTAATCCCCCATTTGTACCAAGGATCTGTGTGCGTTGGGAGAGGCGGAGGGATCTCCAGGCGCTCGATTTCCTGTTATGGCTGTGGCTCACCTACCTTAGGCTGCCTAAGGGCTGAACGAGTGATTCCGTGTCCTTACAATCTTTCTGCTCAGATAAAAATCAAATCTCACCAGATGCGAGTGTATGAAGACCGAGGGCTTTTATTACAATATCTTTTTAATTATCACGGAGGGGAATCGCATTTTACAAACTATAATAAATTGAATTTTATGATGGCGTGTGTGTGAGGACTTATTTAATGGATTGCATTAGACGTGAAGCGAATCCTTTTTCTTTCTCTAAGGTTTATGTGTAGCTTGTTGAACTCCAGAAAAATGAGCTGTGAAGTGAATGGAGGGGTTACAGATACAGCCCGAATGATGGTTCGTATTTACTGTTCAGATTAGTCCCATTTAATTCCAGATTGTGAACATTTCTAACATCTGCGGAAGCCAAACCAGGCAGTTATGCTTTATTAAGATCAGGCTTCTACTTTTCTCAATAGGTAATTTGTTAGGTCTCAAATAGTGAGTTATGGCTGTTTGTTTTGGAAGGAGCTTCGCTTATTGCTCGTGTTTGTTCTCATTGGTAATTCCTGCCTCACGGTAGTTCAGGGCTTCTGTCGAGCCTACTGTTGTAGCAGATATGAAGAGAGGATGGCTTTGCTCATGTAGTAACCATAGGGTTATTGCACGTCCCCTCTCAGGACCTGGCTTATCGCTGCGACTTGCCGCGTTCTTCTCTTCCCCCTTGCTTTTCTCTGTTGTCAGCAGTGCTGTGTGCTTGGGAAGGTGGAGCGAGCCTGTCTTGTCTGGTGAGAGAGCTTAAAAGAAGATAACTTCTTACATAGGCTTCTCGTGGGACCTTGGTGTGAGCTCAGAATGGAGTGCAGTCCTGGATGGTGCCTGGTTAAACCCGTTACTTGGAATACCCAACTTCCAGACATCTGCCTCCAGAAGAAAGAAAGGAAAAATGTTCTTGCTATGAAGATTAATTTCATGTAATTGCCAATAGGGCTCCAGTAGAGTTATGGAGAAGTTGAAGCACACACACATGAGATGATACAGATGTAAATGAATGAGCCAAAAGTGTTTGAATAGACTGAGGAACAGTAGTGCTATTTTTTTTTAAGTGCCTTGAGTATTGTTACTCAGTGCATGGATGAAAACCCTGAGAATGGAAGGTCCTTTGAGCACAGGGGTGTAGTGAATGCTAACACTGGCGTGTGACCCAAGATGCAGATCTCAGGGGCAGCAGAAGAAAGAGTAGAGCAGAAAGGAATTGGTGGAGACTGGGGCTCCAGCTGGGGCTTCATTTGTTACTGATGAAAAGAGGAGGGATGTAAGCTATGATGAGGCTGGAGAACTGCACCAGGATGGCCCCTTTGTGTTGGTCTTTGTGGTTGTGGTGGGTTTTCTTAATAACACCTGGGTTTACAAAGGCTTTAACAACTGATCTCTGTGATAAAAGATCCCCTCCAATTGCAGTGTCTGGCAAACAAGTGGTTTGTTTAATCCCTGCACCTTAACTGGTTACTGTGATGGTGAGTCCATACAGAAAGATGCCTGCGGTTCTGAATGCTGTTGTTTGCAGTCAAGATTTGCAAGCAAGCGTATGCTGGATGTCAGTATCCTCTATGGAGGAGGTGCAATATTAGGGAGGGGGTCGGTGAGCATTTTCCCAACTTGTTCTGCGTGTTTCAGAATGCAGCAGGCAACAGAACCGAGCCCTGTGCTAAACAAGTGGGAAGAAGCAGGTTAAGCAATCTTGGAGATACAGCAGGGTGCCAATAGGATCAGTTTTATGAATTTGAATTCCCTAGGAAAACTTTAGAAAAGAGAAATGAAATCCAATAAAACTACAGAGGATGGCAGATGTCTTCTTTCCCAACAGTTAGGACGAGCATACACATTTAAGAGATTATTTTCATATGCATGCAGTCATCTTAGAATTCTGGAAGGGAACAGTTTGTCTGCGATTTATAATAAATTATTCATCCTGTTTTATTACCATAATAATCATTTTTTATGGTTACCCAAGTGAATGCTATTATGAAAGCACAGAAAAATCTATTAATTATTTTCCAGGATTTTACAGTGTTCAGTTTCCTCCTAGAGTTTTCCCATTCTGTGGATTTTTGATGTTATCAGAAAGCAAGGCGTTTATTCTTTGCTAAGATAAAAAGTCTCTAAGCACATTTATTTTTGCCTATTGTGCAACAGCTTTGCTATTTGTAGAGCTAAAGGAACATGAGAGCATCGTAGCTAGGGGATGTGCCAGTCCTCACCATTGGCTGACCTCTTCCTTTTTGGTCTTTGGCCTTATGGTCCCAGAGGCAGAATGGGTTCTGTGTTTTTCCATATGGAGGTGGACTTTGAGAAATGACTCAAATAGGGGCAGTTGACTGAAGTAGAGGAGTAGTTGTAAGAGATGGTTCTAACGTAAGGGTTCTATAGTAAGGGGAGGTTCTAGAGCTGCTCATTAGGAGCCAAAACTTGTGCTGGTCTTAATGCAGAGGCTGTGTTCAAGTTGTGAATGGGGTTTTATAATGTGGTCCAGAATACTGAAGGACTGGACCCATTACCAAACCTGACTTCTCACAAAACATATTTAGTGGGTTAGCAGCTCTAAGTGCCATTTATTGTCGTATCTGTGGGAAATTAATCTGCCTGGTCAGGGTTGTTGCACTGTGGTGTAACTGGGGTCTGCAGTAGCTCTGTGTTTGGAGTTAAAAACCTTAAGTATCATTGGGTTGGCACAAAGCTGCTGGTGTTAGGAAGTATGCTGGTGTAAAATGGGGTACGTGAAGCCTTCCTCTTGGCTCTGCCTTGTTGGGTAGTTTGAACCTCATTTACCACCATGTCCATATTGCACTGGTTGGGTCAGTACCTGAAGCTCAGACTGGCTGTGGCTGTAGGCAGCCTGGTTTGGTGGCTGATGATCCTGCACGTAGTAGGGGGCTGGTAAATAGATGATCATTGTGGTCCTTTTCAACCCAGGCCATTCTATGATTCTCAGTCAAGGCAGCGCTGACCTCTGCAGTAAAGTTGAACTGGACTCAGAGAAATCCCTGCACATAATGACAAGCTTGCAGCTCTTAATGCCTACACGTCAGATTGAATGAAGCTTCCACAGCCAGCTGCTTCTACTCTATGTAAAAACAGCTCTTAAATTCAGCTGCTTCTTTTGCACGCTTGGGTCTCCTTAGAGTGATCCTGCTGGATATATGCACAATTTTTGCATGACACCACTCAGCGATGAGATGTTAAAGAGTAAAACAAAACTAAACGCCCAACGCAGCTGGAGGTTGGATCTTGGTTTGTGCTAGATCTCTCTGATTTGAGAGCCTCCCCTGCTGTAAGCGTGCTTTGTGACCCAACATCATCTATGGGGTCACAGTTCAGCAGTGCATCTGAAGCACGTTCCTCGGTTAAGGCATGGGGCTAACCTTGTGTCCAGGGAGACCGGTCTCATGCTGAAATAACAGGCTGAATTGGAGCCGAAATATTTAAGGGGGGGAAAGAAAAAAAAATGTATAATTCTCCAAGAAACATTTCATTTGGAGCTCGTTTTATACTGTACATCTATTTGGCCTGTAAGGGTTGGGAACATGTCATCTTCTGGGGGCTGTGCAGTGCCAGATCACTGCTTAACACAGCCGTAATCCTGTCATCTCTAGTTTAGATCATGTGCATTTCAGAGAAGGAGCTCCTCTTTCTCTTCTGTTGTATGAGCACTGTCAATGCTCAGTAAATCCAACGGCCCTCTGGGAGCTGGTCTTTCTATTTAAGAGCTTTTCTGCT